AAAACTTTCCGCGAACATCATCATTTTTTCGCTAATAAATTTTATTTCAAAAAATCGAATTTATATCCCGATTGGACTATATGTTTTTTGGCTATATCCTGATCGGGATATATTTTGATTCAAAACGAGATATATATCCCGATCGGGATATAGAGCATGCGTCTGTACTGCCTGGATGAAACAAAATGTATGGGACGAATTTTAAAAATCAATCTGAACTCTGCTCAATAAAAACTTTCTATAACTTGCTTTTTGAAAATTTTTTATTTTCTCAAAAACTAAAATAAAAATCAACTATCGGGGCTCTTGCAACCCGTGAGACCTAGCGTCACTACCGTTTAAAAAGGATCTAAGGCTTTAGGACTCAAGGTAGCATTGATGTTTTGCGATTACAAACCAAGTCTGCAACACAATTTCGGGTAGGATCGTAGCTCAACTACAGCGCCAGCTCCGATTTCTTTCTCTCTCGTTCTTTGAGGTAGCAAATATAGATCTAGATGATCATGATGCTTAGTTTTGAAAACGACTGGCTTTTCTGCCGATTGGAGCCGATATTCTCAAAAACGGAATTTTCGATTGTTTCTCGAGAATACTTTGTGGAATTGAAAGCAAAATCATACGGAACTGCCTATGCTGTTGACATACAACAGGTTTACCACTAACTACTCTGAAAAATAATGGGTACCTTTTATAGAACAGCGACCTATTTTCTTTATTTGCATTGCTACTTAAACAGTCGCTCTTTCTTTATAACTTTTCAAAATTTCTAGTTTTGTGACTCAGCCTCACCTAATCTCAGTGCTAGCTACGTCACTATTCGCGCACAAACCGAACATTCTTTTGTCTATTCTTTTCGTAGTGAGAGGAAGTTATTCTCTCGGAATAGGCGTCGCACTTTACCTTTACTTTACGTGTAACTAGTAACGAACTTAGTTACTCGCTAGTAGTAAAGAAGTAACTAATCTAGTTATCTCGTTGCCAGTAACGAGTAACTAAGTTTGTTACTTCTTTACCAGTAAAGTAACGGTTTTTCGTTACTTTCTGGAGGAGCAACGAAATTTGTTACTCGTTACTACTAACTAAGTAACTAACTTCGTTACTTTACCTGATAAAGTAACACCGAGTAACTAGTAAAGTGCCAGCCCTATATCTCGAAGTTAGCAACGTTTTTTTTCCTAAAGATCAGCTTAACTTACTAGGAAAGAAGAAAATTGATAACATCAAAGTACAACTGAAAAGTTCTCGCCGTTTAGATTTTTTAACTAAATAGAAAGAAATAAAATCATTTCTAATTTTCTCAAAATGTAATTTGTCTGACATGGATAAACCTCTTCTTTTCCTAAGGAAGTCGACTAAGCAATTTCTCATTCAAATAAATAAATACTTTTCGACCCTATACTCTCACCTGTTGTTTTCAGTACGTTGTCGATTGCCACAGTCGATAATGTCCAGTTATAAATATAAATTGATTTGGCATTTGTTGCACCTTGTGCCGTACCTAATTCTCCATCGTCATGTGCTAGACGATGAAATGCTGTTGGTGCTATCATTATTGGATTATCATATACATGACTAATAAACGATAGAATTAAGGCAATAAATGTTTTTAAACTCACAAATGCATCCATACCCGAATATTGTTGTTTGTAATGATATTTGACTGACATCGGTTAACACTTTTGGTATAATTCTCAAATGTCGATTAAAATATTCTCGACAAGCCTGATATGTACAACCATAACCAGCTTGATATTTATAATAATTAAAACGATGTGATGGTAACAACGTTTTAGCCAGTAGTTCAAAATCATCAAGGGATTGACATTGTAAGTAACCGTTTGTCTAAGGAACAAAGACAATCAGAAAGAGATGAGTAATCTTTTAATATGTACCACGTACCCTTTCTTCACGTTCAAATCGTTTTTTTCTGTAATACTTAATAACAAAATACAGACTAACGGCACCAATCGTTAATAGATAAATATTATGGGCTGAATATGAATAAGAATAATAAATAGCGAATATGATAGTTAGCAGTGGTTATACTTGACCCTTATCAATCTTTATCTTATTCAGTAAAAGTAAGTCAGTTTATTGCCGCTTACTGGTGAGCAGCAGGTAATTTTTTTCACACTTACTATTTATCCGGTAAAGTTCATGAAACGGCTATTCCACAAACGACTCTTCCGCGAATCTTTTATGATACGAATTTAGATATTTTTTCAGGACAGACACACTTACAAAGCTATTTATCAGTATGTGATAGGTAGGGGTGTGTGTGTGTGTGTGTGTGTGTGAGAACAGTGTGAGAGTGAGTTCGATAAGTACTTTTATGCAGAAGATATATTAACGTAGTATGAAACTAGTTAGATTACTTCGACGTGAATTGATATTAAAATTGTAAAAAAAGGCATGTTCACCTTAACACGCATATGTTATTTTAGTGTTTGGAATAAGGAGAATTTGAAAGTTTAGTTTCTTAATAGCTATTGCCAAAAAATTCGCGAAGTAGTCGGTGAATCGGTAGAGTGAAATAAAGTAGTATCTCTAGCTAATTGTTATACGCTTACCTTGACTTAGTATTGGAGGCATGTTCGCTAAACAAAGATTACGAATCGTTCTTGTTACAGATAAACTATATACATATTCATACTAATTTTTCTCAGTTTTGCTAATAATGGCTATGACGGCTTATATTTCCTCTAGTTATAAATCCTTGAGTTGATTGTATGCGTGCGTTAAAATACGTAGTATCGCTCTTCTATTCAACTACTCTTTATCACAAACTACAAAAGAAAAATACCTCATATATGTATATATATATACATCTACTACTGCATCACAAAAGATAAGAACCGCAAAAGAACAAAAACAGACAGCGGACAGAACGAAACAAAAGAGAGTAATCCTACCGATAGATGTATATACTAGGCAATTGGGCAAGGTCCCCGATAGCGTGGGTCAAGTTTGCTAGTTGTCCATTTTCCGGCAAGATGTCCAAAAGCGATGGCGGCCGAAACAAGTTGTCCCTCCGAAAAAGATCAATTGGCGGGTATGACGATCAAAAGATAAAGTTGCGTAAAAGTAGTTTTTTAAAACTCTTCAGATGTTCTTTTTGACAAATGAAAAAAGGTAAATTGTTGTGTGCAAAAAGAAGATCTGGTGCGTTTCGCAAACCCCTTCTTGCACCGTGCGCACAGATCTGAGTTTCACTCTGAATAATCCTTTATTGCTCTTCCGTAAAGAGCCGTATATTATTCACCATATACACAACAGCTATCTGCTGCCCGTGTGAAAAAAATTAAAAAGTAGGACTTAACAAGTTCATTGTCTGTGTATCATATATGATTCATTTAATTTTTAGTTTAGTGTAATTTTTTTTTGTTATTCAGCTGAAATAAGCATCACAGATAGTCAGGAATCGTAGCATTGTACTTGGCTATCCGAAGAAACGCAACACAGACTAATGGAAATAACAACAAAATAAAAAACTCTCGTTTTAAAAGAAAAGAAAAGAGAGGAGATAGAAAAAAAAGAGTGGAAGACATAGAAAATACGCACAATAAGTTACCTGTTAAATCATTTCGCGTATTCAGTATGTTTTATAACAGCAGAATAAATTGCAGAATATTCATCGTATTCAAACCTGTGTTTTAACAGCAGATTTTTAACATCAATCCTAATTTTGCGTGGTATGGAGTCGGTGATGGTATTCATCATCATAGTACGATGATAAATGACAATGAAGAAGAAAATGTTCCACTGTTTCAGATGCACCACAGCGACAGAGATTACTTCCAACTAGGAGTTTTCGAATTCAGATCTGAAAAAACATATGTTAACTGATAATAAATCTGATCATATTTTCTGTTCACACCATAGATTCTAAAAACTTTTATATTATTTTCCGTCTAAACTAATTTATTTTTATACTTTTTTATTTTCGTACATGATCTCAGATCATTATCTAACTTATTCCACTCAAGTATAAAACGAGGAAAGAAAGACATTTTGAATCTCTTTGAACCTGTGAGTGTATTTAGTTTATTGGATGTTTGAGAACACAAAGCGAGATGGAAATCTGTGTTTTTTATTGGATTATCCTGTAAGTGTTCCGGCGTCAATCTCAATTTAATTTTTTTTTCAAATACGTATGACGTTAGACAGATTAAAATATAAAATTCAGGTATAAACTGGACTGTACGAATAATAAAATAGACTGAGCATTGTTTACGTGCGCATATATAGTGAACAGTGGGACGGCAAGACAGATATTTTAGAAGAAAATAAAGGGACTATTGTTGTTTTCAAATTACGGTGCCAGTGGTCATTTTTCGAATAGCTCGAAAACGAAAGAGATAGAAACTTGCGGTTCTCATTAATCGATAGAGGACACTGGGACACATGATTCTGTGAAAAAATGTGGCTCAGGCAAAAGGTTTACCTCGATGTGTCTTTCGACCGAAAGCCTAGGACATCCGACCTCCACGAAAACACCTCGTGAAAATCTATATCAGATAAAACAGCTCCATTTTTGCCTGTTTTCCCGCAAAATAAACCCAGACAGCAGTGATTCATCAACAGATTTTGCATAGAGAATGATCGTGGTAGTCTAAGTACAGTTCACCACTCAGGATCGATCGAAACTATGTCAGAATATTAAGATATACTCTATTTTATCTGCTCAATATAATTATGTAGTTAAAATTGGTGAAAAAATATTCTGTCCACTGAAGACTTCTAGAAAACCTCCAGGATATTTTACCTGATACAGATTTTCACGAGGTTCTTGAATTTGTTCCCACAAACCAGCATTGCCACGAGCAGCAATATCCTATGTTTCATGTGTTTCGAGGACACATAGGAGTAAAGCTTTTGCCTGAGCCACATTTTTTCGCAGAATCATGTCTCCCAGTGTTCTCTATCGATTACTGAGAACCGCAAGTTTCTATCTCTTTCGTTCTCGAGCGATCGCGATGAATTGTTAGGTATCAGCAAATTCCTAATTGGTGACTTCACTGCGACAATTTTTTCCAACAGTGATGGAGGATGTCCGGCGTCCATGAATTCCCAAACGATTTAACCCCTATGAGAATTCTGGAATAAGAACCAGAATTCTACTTAACCATCGAAGAATTCTAAGAGGAAAGAGGAATCGATAGAGCGACCAGCAAATTTCACGAGAATTGTGGGAACTTACACGAGAATTTTGCTCAACCACAGCTCTACTAAAAATCTCATGAGCATAGGATGGTTGCCGGAGAGTTCACTCTCAACTGATCGACCCTCCTCTGCCTCACCACTTTTCTCATGAGAAAGACAGTTGAAATTATTGGATTATTTCTCCAACGCAGAGCATCCAGTCTGACGCACAGCATTTTCTCTGAGCACAATCAGCAGAAACAAAACCTGTTGACCCCAGAAAAAAGTTTCGAGACTGATTTTATTTAAAAACAACAAAAAGCGCTGCTCGGTTGGAGTTGTTGTCTGCTTGTAGTTTACACAGTCCTCTATTTATTGACATCATGAGCTATGATCGATAAAACATTTATGCGCAAATATAGCAATGGGTTTTAGATCATCTCATATATACTGATAGAAAATTTTCAAATTTGAGCACCATTCAGTGGTAGAGTTTCTTCCTGTGGAATACCAATTCCCATCCAATATTTATGAAAGTATGGCGGCAGTTTACGGTGTTAATGCTCCATCGCGCACTACGGTTTTTGGATGGACTCGTCGTTTCGAAGATGGACAATTAAATATTGATGGTGACCGTAGATGTGAATGGCACAAATATTAAAGCTGTTAAGAGTCTAACCATCGAAAAATGTCGAATCGCAATTCAGCAAATAGCAGAGACTATCAGCATTTCAAATACATGGTGCATGGCATATTACATGATCAATTACATATGACTAAAGTCTCTTCAAGATGAATGTCACATTCAATAGCATCTGATCAAGTATACGTTGTTCATATATCAATGTTTGCTTGTCAATCTTTGAAACGACGAGTCCATCCAAAAAACGTAGTGCACAATAGAGCATTATAATCGTAAACTGTCGCCATGCTTTCATAAATATCGGATGGCGATGGAGCTCCAGAACAGAACAGTTTGCTCAAGTTTTTGATTTTCTATCAGTGTATATGAGGTGATCCAAAAACTATTGCTATATTTGCACATAAATGTTTTATCAATCATAGTTCATGACGTCAATAGATAAAGGACTGTGTGAACTACAAGCAGACAACAATTCCAACCGAGTAGCGCTTTTTGTTGTTTTTAAATAAAATCAGACTCGAAACTTTTTGAACGCTCTACGTATTTCAATAGTGTAAATGACTTCACTGCTTCGTTTTTAGCGAAGTAGGATTTCGTCGTCGAGGCATTTACTCCCTATTCAAGATTATTTATGACGATTTGGGATTTAGACAACTACATATTGATCTCTTCTTACTTTCTAGAAAGTTCTCAAAAGAACCTTTCAGAAACTTCCAGAGGTAGGCTTTAGCAAAAGTGCCTACACAAGGGCAAGAACTTTTGCACCTTACTGTACATGATAAAAGGTGTAGAAGTTATAGAAAAAAATGTCTATTGCAAAACAAAAAAGTCTTTCAAACATGTTTATTTTTTATTTGCGGATTTTTATATCATTCTTTTTCTCAATACTGAAGTTTTATTTTTTTATTGTATTTTATATTCAAGGGTTTTTCATACTAAACAGGTGTATATATATAGTACTTGACCTCTACAACACAGGCATATAATGAAATTAATGTTGCGTAGTTTTAATACACGACGCAAAACAAAAAGTGGCGAAATAGGTTTGACGTCGACTGTATGTAATAGTGCTGAGGAAGAATAAAATGGAGTGATGGACGGCGACACTCTGTTCCTGAAAAGACGAAAAGACAGGCATCGCCATTTTTAGAAAATTGACACTATACATCATCAATAATTGGAATTCTTATGTTTTTGCGAGTCACGCTAATTTCAGGCTGTGTTGCTGATCAGGGTAGGGTGTAGGCTTGTATGCAATGAAACAATTACCACTTCATCGGCGCATTTGACAAAGTTATAAGGAGAGCAAGTCTTTTGTCTAGCATTTTTTGAATAATCGAATTTCTCGAGCTAGTGGAAGCCAGACTAATTTTAAATGGCGATCATGAACACGGTTTAATGTAAGCTTAGCAGTGAAACAACTGCCAGTTCATCAAAGCATCTGATAAAGTTCGTCTAGTTTTGTCCACTACGGTATATATGTAATGTAATATAATAACCTCATCGAATGATTAAATAACGATATTGCAGTTGATGTTACCGTAGTACGGTTGATTTCTTTTCAATAAACAAACAAAAAAGAATTACGATATGAAGTTAATAAAATTAATTGATAGTATATCATCAATAATAAGAACGTATAAAAAAAAGTAGTTTAGACCAATATAAAGCTTCATTTCGAGTGTCAAAAGAAACATCGGTCATGCGCACATTACCTGCTAAGCAATAAAGATATACTAAGCCAAAACCTGCAGAAAATTTTATAATAGCTAAGAAATATGTGAAAAGAAATATTATGAAATAGTCG